AATGTTGAAATCTGATAATATTATATAGTTATTTGAAACATATAGATTTTGTGCCTTCAATCACACATAATGTCCAAATGAAATTAATATTACACAGTGATTTGACATATATAGCTTTTGTGCCTTCAATCGTACATAATGTAGTAAAAAGGACACCTACGTTGGGAGTTAGTTGAAAATGTCATAAACTTAGTCAAAAAAAGGGGTTCGGGGGGCGAAAAAGCAAAACAGCCCCTGAACCACTGTTTTTACATAACAGGAAGCTTCTCGGTGACAAATGTGACATGTAGCGACGGACGGTACGTAAATAGGACACCTACGTTGGGAGTTAGAGTTGAAAGTGTCATAAACTTAGTCGAAAAAAGGGGTTCGGGAGGCGAAAATGCAAAACAGCCCCCGAACCACTATTTTTACATAACGGGAAGCTTTCCAATGACAAATGTGACATGTAGGGACGGATGATACGTAACTAGGACACCTACGTTGGGAGTTAGAGTTGAAAATGTCATAAACTTAGTCGAGAAAAGGGGTTCGGGGGGAGAAAATGAAAAACAGCCCCCGAACCACTGTTTTTACGTAATGGGAAGCTTCCCGATGAAAAATGTGGCATGTAGGGACAGACAGTACGTAAATAGGACACCTACGTTGGGAGCTAGAGTTAAAAATGTCATAAACTTAGTCGAGAAAAGGGGTTCAGGGGGCGAAAATGCAAAACAGCCCCCGAACCACTGTTTTTACGTAACGGGAAGCTTCCCGGTGACAAATGTGATATGTAGGGACAAACGGTACGTAAATAGGACACCTACATTGGGAGTTCGAGTTAAGAATGTCATAAACTTAGTCGAAAAAAGGGGTTCGGGGGGCGAAATTACAAAACAGCCCCCAAACTACTGTTTTTACATAACAGGAAGCTTTCTGGTGGCAAATGTGACATGTAGGGACAGACGGTACGTAAATAGGACACCTACGTTGGGAGTTAGAGTTGAAAATGTCATAAACTTAGTCGAAAAAAGGGGTTCGGGGGGCGAAAATGCAAAACAGCCCCCGAACTACTGCTTTTACATAACGGGAAGCTTCCCAGTGACAAATGTGATGTGTAGGGATGAATGGTACGTAAAAAGGACACCTACGTTGGGAGTTAGAGTTGAAAATGTCATAAACTTAGTCGAAAAAAGAGATTCAGGGGGCGAAAATGTAAAACAGCCTCTGAACCACTATTTTTACGTAACGAGAAGCTTCCCGGTGAAAAATGTGATATGTAGGGACAGACGGTACGTAAATAGGACATCTACGTTGAGAGTTAGCGTTAAAAATGCCATAAACTTAGCCCCCATTTGGGAACAGGCTAATTTAGTAACTTTTTGGCTATTTGGCTAAAATATGAGTTAAAAAAAATTAGTATGTTTGGGATGACTTTTTGACTTTTTACGAAAAGATGTGCAAAAGGTAGAGAGAAAAGAGAATCTTTGACTTTTTGATATGGGTTGTTAGCTTTTTGGCTAATTTAGTAATTTTTTGACTTTTTGGCTAAAAAGTTCGGTTGCCAAATGAGGCCTTAGTCGAAAAAGGGGTTCGGGGGGGCGAAAATGCAAAACAGCCTCCGAACCACTGTTTTTACGTAACAGGAAGCTTCCCGGTAACAAATGTGACATGTAGGGACGGATGGTACGTAAAAAGGACACCTACGTTGGGAGTTAGAGTTGAAAATGTCATAAATTTAGTCAAAAAAAGGGGTTCGGGGGGCGAAAATGCAAAACAGTCCCCGAACCACTGTTTTTACATAACGGGAAGCTGCCTAGTGACAAATGTGACATGTAGGGACAGACGGTACGTAAATAGAACACTTACGTTGGGAGTTAGAGTTAAAAATGTCATAAACTTAGTCGAAAAAAGGGATTCGGGGGGCAAAAATGCAAAACAGCCACCGAACCTCTGTTTTTACGTAACGGAAAGCTTCCTGGTGACAAATGTGACATGTAGGTACAGACGATACGTAAATAGGACACCTACGTTGGGAGTTAGAGTTGAAAATGTCATAAACTGAGTCGAAAAAAGGGGTTCGGGGGGCGAAAATGCAAAACAACCCCCGAACCACTGTTTTTACGTAACATGAAGTTTTCCGGTAACAAATGTGACATGTAGGGACAGACGGTACGTAAATAGGACACCTACGTTGGGAGTTAGAGTTGAAAATGTCATAACAATAGTCAAAAAAAGCGTTTGGGGGTCGACAATGTGTTTACGTGGTAGAACATGAAATGTCCATGTCGTGGGTAACTATTTTGGTAATACTATAGTTTGTTTAACTCTTTCCTTATTAGTTAAACGTGGCACAATATTTTTGATAAATTGTTTAGTGCATTTGTAGACTGTGGCCCTTTTAATTGCCATAAACACAACTTTTGGCATTAATTCATAGAATCGATGCTCGTCTACCCGTCCATGTTTGGGTGTCTTTCATTAATTAATAGCTATTACTCTACTTGGCTTTTAATGTTTGAAATTAATACAGTTGCTATACAGTTGAAATTAATACAGTTGCTATATAGTGTACAAACTAATGAATTTTTTTATTTTATTTTATTTTGCAGATGGTTTCGGGCATACAAATGTGGATATATAATTTTTTGACAATTACGAGAGGGCATTGTTTTTATACCTCTATTCGTATATATAGTGGTTCGTACAAATTACTTTTTTGGTGTGGTAAATATCCGATTAAATTTGGCATGGTAGAAATTAGCATAGCACGTGGTACAAAATAGTTTTGGGGCAGTACAGATTTAATTTTTGTTGTGGTACATATGTTCTTTTTGTTAATTAATTTGGTTATTCCTGTATTATGTATGGATTTAAATTATTTACGTTGGATTAGACTTGGAGTGTATGGAATTTGTATTATATATAGAATTGGACGTTCAAGATTAATTTTTTGGATTCTTGGAATTGAAATTTGTGCACGTTGTTGAATGCTTTAATGGTTGATAATATATTTTAGTGTTGATGGATTATATTGTTTATACAGGGTACAAGTTGTACTAATAATGAATACAGGTTGTTTACAAACTTTTTTTAAAAAAAAAAAAACAAAAGAAAAAATTATTTGGCCACCAAATGTTTTGGTAGCCAAATAGGTAATCAAAAGTTTTAGCTACTAATAACCCCGTTTGGGGACTTACTTTTTTAGCCAATTAGCCAAAAAGTTAAATTAGCCAAAAAGCCAACAACTCATACCAAAAAGTCAAAGATTCTCTTTTCTCTCTACTTTTTGCACATCTTTTCGTAATTAGCCAAAAAGTCATCCCAAACATACAAGTTTTTTTTACCTACTTTTTTAGCCAAATAGCCAAAAAGTTACTATGACTTTTTGACTAATTACGAAAAGCTGTGCAAAAAGTAGAGAGAAGCTGTAATTGTTGACTTTTTGGTATGACTAATTGGCTAATTGGCTAATTTAGTAACTTTTTGCTTTTTGGCTAAAACAGAGCCTTCCCAAACGAGGCCAAATTAGCCTGTTCCCAAACGAGGCCGCCTCGTTTGGGAACCCTCCTTTTTAGCCAAAAAGTTACTAAATTAGCTAGAAAGCCAACAACTCATATTAAAAAGTCAAAGATTCTCTTTTCTCTCTACTTTTTGCACATCTTTTCATAAAAAGTTAAAAAGTCATTCCAAACATATTAGTTTTTTTAACTCATATTTTAGCCAAATAACCAAAAAGTTACTAAATTAGCCTGTTCCCAAACGAGGCCTAAGTAGCAAAAACATAACCTAAAACGTTTTTGCAACCAAATAATTAGTAGCTAAAAAATTTGAGAATGAGAGAAAGAAACTATTGGCCACTAAATTTTTTAGTCACGGAAAAAATGGTATCATTTGGCGACTAAAAGGTTTAGTGGCAAAAAGTAAAGAAATGAATCTTAATAGGTTTTTGGCTACGAACAGTTTTAGTCGGCAAAAGTCACAACGACTAATGACATGGTCGCTAAAAATATGTATTCTATTGGTGACGAAAATATTTAGTCTCTAATAGTTGGTCAAAATTTTACGGTAGAACTTTTAGTGACTAAACATTTAGTCGCGGAAAGGTCACGTTTGCCGACTAACGAAGGATTCGTAGCTAAATGTTCACTTTCGGTGACTACTATTTTCGTAGCAAAAACGAACACCTTCCCCGACTACATGAGCGTAGTAGGCAAAAGTCACATTCGGCGACTAACGGTTTTAGTGGCGAAAAGATACCATTTGCCTACTAAAAGAAATTTAGTAGGGAAATGTTTCATTTTTTGGCGACCAAATGAAGTTTAGTCGCCATTACTATCGCCGACAGAGTATAGGCGACGAACTTGGCGACAGAAATATTTGGTCGGTAAATGGTTTCAGCGACCAAATTTCGGCCTTTTGCCGATCAATATTTTAGTAGCTAAAAGTGACATTTCTTGTAGTGATATCAGACAGTATCGGCTAATACCAGTTGAAAAACATAATAATGGGTAAATACCAGATAATATTGGCCTTTTTTTTTTGGTAATATTAAAATGGTAGAAATTTGTGTTTCATACTCTCTTTGAAGTACCTTACTTTGTGTTATTTAACAGACAGTATGTTTTAAGCCTTTTTACATATAAATTTGTTATTCATGATATTTATTGTTGAATTATTTGTTATTAAACAATGTTTTTAATACATAGATTATATTTTCGCGATAAATCTAAAACAGCATAAGGTAACATATCGGTCGATACTAATAGATACCTAACCAATAAAACAAAAAAGGATACTTAGGGTTATTTTGAAAAGTGGGTTAAAAGTTACTCTCTCACAAAAAAGTCAAAAAAAATCAAAAAATAATTTTTAATCATTTTTCCAAAACACCCCTTAGTCCGCTATAGTATTAACAACTTTGATTCGGATAGATGGCGGACCCAACTCAATTCATGAGCAACCCTACTCTCCATATTTGTAGATACACTCTCACATAAAAACCACCAAGTAGGCAAGTGCCATTTTTGTGCAAACGAAATGAGCAACGTGCCTCCTCCATCCAACTACTCCTCCTCCTACCCTCCATTGTTTCGCCCAAACAGCACCCCAACCCATGTCGTCGACCAAGATGACCCCACCACGCACAACCCAGGTTCGGACCCCCTGCCTGTGATCGACCTCCATGGCTTGAACCATGATGCCAAGCACACGCTAGCCGAAGCTTGCAAGGTTTGGGGCATATTTCGTTTGGTCAACCATGGGATTCCAATCACCCTCTTGAACCAGCTTCATGACCATGCCAAGGAGCTCCTCTCTCTTTCCTTTGAGTCCAAACAAGCCCTTAGGAGTGGCTCTATGTCCTACTTTTGGGGCACCCCTGCCCTTACCCCTTCTGGGCTAGCCATAGCCACAGAGAGGAGTCCTAGTTCCCTAAGCATTAACTGGGTCGAAGGTTTTAATGTTCCTCTGAGTCAACTCTCTGTGCTTCAAGCTGATGGAGATCCAATTCTTGATACTTTCAGGTAAATTTTTGCCTTTGCTTGCTTGTCACCTTTTAATGAGCAAAAGTTTGAGCAATTATTGGCTCCATAAATGGTAATAATCTCATCATGCTACAAACAGATCTGGATTGGATCAAATAGATCTCGATTGGATCGTTTATTTTTGCAGTGTTCATAATCTGCACAAATAAAAGTTTAAATTTATGAGCATTGTTATATAATATTATGGTAATTAATTAAAATATCTAAGGTATCACTCTTTTTTATATATTCTCAATCATTAACTAATCATATTATTTACACATTAATAAATTAAAAAATGAATCTAAAAAATAAATTCATATAATTATTTTCTAAAATTTATTTGTGACATTGTTACCTGTCATACAACATAATTTAGATATCAGAGAA